ATTTCCATTTTTGGAGAATTTGAAAATCTACACGACCAATAAAAAGTTGTGGGACTAAGTGATTTGCACTGTACCAGGATTCACAATGATTATTCTGTCTATTATATATATTTAATATAAAAATTGGAACACAAAAAACTGGTAAGCACGTGATTTTACAAATTATTTTTGAAATATCAAAAAAAAAAATGATTAAAATAATAAATAACACGTCCAAAACGAATTGGGGATTTAATCCAAGCCAGATGAATTGATAATTTTTGAACGTGTCCAGGCCAAAATGGCAGTGATTATCACGATTAATTACTTTGACATTTTTTTTCTGCTTAAATCATTAAATTGTTTGTTAATTTTAATAAAATGATTAATAAAAGGAAAATATTTATGTAATTATGTAATTCGTTTATTTATTGATTATTTATAATATAATATGGCTTTTATTATGTAATGATTGATGAATTATTAAACTATAAAATAAAAAAACATAGATTTCTTTATTTTTTTTCTTTCATCTAAAAAAATTATAAGAAATGGCTTGAGTTGGCAGCGATAATGGTGATAAATATCGAGAACCATTAGAACAAAGAGAACAGCAGCAAGAAGAAGAAGAAGAACAAGAAGGCGGCGGAGGACGACGAAAACGACTATAATCAGAAATTTATGGTCACGGAAAAGAAGTTATTTCAGGAGCCACTTTTACAATTGTAGAAAAATTAAAACCAACAATTTCTGAAACTAAACAAGTTATTGGTCATGCAGCACAAAAATGCAAAGAGGTCATTACACATCCTATATATTATGTGCAAAAAGCAACATCCTTCTTTTGGGAAAATTTTCCTCCTTTAAGTTGGTTTACTTATGGAGTGATAGCATTAAATGCCATACCTTTAACAATCCTATTGACATTTCTTTTTGTTACAACAAGTATTGTTATGTTGATCACTGGTACCGGAATCTTTTTGGCCAAAGGATTTTTCACTGGTGTTGATCATTTTTCTTTGTTCCTGTAATGATCATGATGATTTTTGCATCATTTGTTACTGCTTTTTTCACAGTTTTTGCTAGAGTATTTACTCAATTATTACATACATACTTTTGATTTAATTGGAGACTATAATACAACATCACCATCTTTTATCCTTTCTAAAACTAGTAGAGTTCTTATAGGAAGTAAGGAAGGTGGCATTGGTGGTGATGGAAGTAAAGAATTAATCGAAGAAATAATAATTTTACCATATTGACATGCATGGGTTGCACAATATAATATAATAAT